TTTTTAACGTAGCCATAATTTCAGTTTCTCCAGCATCTCTGTTTATAAAGCTAACGCTGGCTGGGGTGGCTCATTCCTTCAATCCCAGCACTTTGGGAAGCTGAGGCAGGAGGATCATTTGAGACTGAGAGTTCAAGACCAGTCTGGGCAACAGAGCAAGGCCCTGTTTCTACAAAAAATTTAAAAACTAACCGGTCCCATAAATATATACCTACTATGTACCCACAAAAACAAAAAATTATATATATAAAAAAAAAACAAAACCAACTAGCTGAGCAGGTGTTGTGGACCTGTAGTCAGCTTCTCAGGAAGCTGAGCTGGGAAGATCGCTTGAGCCCAGGAAGTCAAGGCTGCAGTCATGCAGTGAGCGGTGATCATGCCATTACTCCAATGTGGGCAACACACCCAAGACCCTACCTCAAAAAATAAAAGAAACTAATTTTATTAAGCATATACTGTGTGTCAAGTACTGTGTGCAAATGCTCTGTGTATTTTCTCCTGTAATCCTCAAAGCACCCTGAGACAATATGTAGTATTGTCACTATTTTACAGAAGAGGGAACTGTGGCACAGAGAGGCCAAATATTTACCCAAAATAATGCATCTAGTAAAAGATAGAATCAGGATTTGAATCCAGACAGTCTGACTGCAGAGCTTAAGCTCTTAACTGTTTTACCATAATGCTGCTGATAGACAGTTGAACGTAGGTTTTCTTACTGCTTTATCTTTTCGTTGGACACAGTGTATAGTTAACTCAAATGGTTGAACCTTAGAAAAATAGAAACAAAGAGTTTAAGTAATCCACAAACAAGTGAATTGCTCTTTGAGTAATGAAGAAGAATATGTATTTATCACACAAACATTTTTAACTGCATTCCTTGTGAGAGGTACTACATAGCAATTCTGTGTAGTCATTAGATGATTCCTTTTTCACAGATGTTGGCATTGGCCTAGCGAATGTAAGCTACTGTAGTTATGTGACAGTAGGACTACTTTCATAGTTAATATCTGGCAAGTTATTGATGTTTATACACAGAAAACCTCAACAGTAAATAGATACGAAATGCTGTTGGTGGAAGTGCGAAGAGTTCCTTTTTCACATTTTAGGCCTGTACTGTCCAATCCAGTAGCCATATGCAGCTTGAGCACTCAAAATGCATCTAGCATGACTGAGGAGCTACATTTTAAATTTTATTTAATTATTAAATTAACTTGACAAACTGCTATTTGATCACCTATTGGAAAATGTTCAAGTATGTTTTGAACAACTTGGGTATGTGAATCTGTATTTTTCATCTGTCATTTTATGAAATCTAAATATAAGTTTCCAATGAGAATTTGGTGTCTGAAATAAGTATAAAATACACGCTCGATTTCAAGTTAGTACAAAAATTGAATAAAATTGATGACATAGTGAAATAATACTTTAGGTATATTGGATTAAATAATATTTTTTTCTTTTTTTTTTCGAGACAGGGTCTGGCTCTGTCACCCAGGCTGTAGTGCAGTGGTGCAATCTCAGCGTACTGTAACTTCCACCTTCTGGGCTCAAGCCACCCAGCCAGCTCAGCCTCTGACTACAGGCGCCTGACACCTCACCCAGCTCTTTTTTTGTTTTGTAGAGTCAGGGTTTGGCCATGTTGCCCAGGCTGGTCTCAAACTCCTGGGCTCAAACAAGCCTATCACCTTGGCCTCCCAAAGTGCTAGAATTACAAGTGTGAGCTGCCATGCCTGGTGGTAAATAAAATTATTATTAAAATTATTTTCACTTATTTCTTTTCTTTTTGAGACAAAGTCTTACTTTGTTGCCCAGGCTGGAGTGCAGTGGCATGATCTCGACTCACTGCAATCTCTGCCTCCTGGGTTCAAGCAATTCTCTTGCCTCAGCCTCCCAAGTAGCTGGGATTACAGGTGCCAGCTATCATGTCTGGCTAATTTTTGTGTTTTTAATAGAGGTGGGGTTTCATCATGTTGGCCAGGCTGGTCTTGAACTCCTGGCTTCAAGTGATCTGCCTGCCTAGGCCTCCCAAAGTGCTGGGATTACAGGTGTGAGCCACCGGACCCGGCCTTCATTTATTGCTTTTCACTGTTTATTTTTTCTTCTGAGACAGGGCCTGGCTCTGTTGTCCAGGCTGGAATGCAGTGGTGCAATCACAGCTTACTGCAGCCATGTCCTGGCTGGCTCAAGCAGTCCTTCTCCCTCAGCCTCCCAAGTATCTGGGCCTACAGATGTATACCATGTCAGGCTAATTTTATTATGTGTAAGAGACATAATTTTTTTTTGTAAGAGACAAGGTCTCACTGTGTTGCTCAGGCTGGTCTCAATCCCCTATGCTCAAGTGATGCGCTACCTTTGGCCTCCCGAAGTGGTAGGATTACGGGCGTGAGACACCATACCCAGCCTTTCTTTTTACTTTTTCTAATGTGGCTACTAGAAAATCAAAAGTTATATACATTTAACTTGCATTGTATTTCTTTGCATTGTATTTCTTTTGAGTAGCTCTGGTTTAACTCTCATTACCTCACTGCCAGGCTCTTCAGTATTCCTTCCCCATATTGTACAAGTCGATCTTGTAATTCTCTTGTTTAGGATCCTTCTGAGGTTCCTCATTACTTATTCAACATCATTCAGACTTTTAACCTAATCATATAAAAAGGTTGCCTTTATTTTACTCCTTTATACTTTCCCAGCCCCGGTGAATACTTTGGCTATATAAATTTTCAGTGATGGAACTATTAAATGTCTACTTTTAAATGATTTAACTTTCTGGTGAACCTTTAAGATGAAGTAATTGATGAATGTAACTCTGTGCTCCATTTGCCATTCCCAGAACTTATGTTCCATCTTTGCTTTGGTTTTTGTTTTTGTTTTTGGATTTTTTTTTGAGACACGGTTTCACTCGAGTCTAGGCTGGAGCACAGTGGTATGATCATGGCTCCCTGCAGCCTTGACTTCTCAGGCTCAGGTGATTTTCCCACTTCAGCCTCACAAGTAGCTGGAACTACAGACGTGCATCACTATGCCCAGCTAATTGTTGTATATTTTGTAGAGGTGGGGTTTTACCATGTTGGCCAGGCTGGTCTTGAACTCTTGGGCTCAAGCAGTCCATCTGCTTCAGACTCCCAAAGTGTTGGGATTACAGGCATGAGCCATTGTATCTGGCCTGCTCTAGGTTTTTGTACGTGATTTCCTTTTCTCTCTAGAATATTTTCTCCTTGCTCCTTGACAAGCCCTTTCCTTTAAGACTTCTCAGTGAGGGCTTCCCTCCACCCTCCCTCTGCGCCACGTTATTGGGTCCCATGATGGCCTGTACGTACACTTATATGAAATGGTCTGGGCTGAATTTGGATTCAGCTGTGTCAGATGTGGTTTGTAAGATCATGTGTAAGTTAATAAGCCTGTCTCTGCCTCAGTTTCCTCATCTGTATAGTAGAAATAATAGTCCGGCTGGACGTGGTGGCTCACGCCTGTTATCTCAGCACTTTGGGAGGCCTAGGTGGGTGGATCACCTGAGGTGGGGAGTTAGAGATCAGGCTGACCAACATGGAGAAACCCTGTCTCTACTAAAAATACAAAATTAGCCAGGTGTAGTGGTGCATGCCTATAATCCCAGCTGCTCGGGAGGCTGAGGCAAGAGAATTGCTTGAACCCAGGAGGTGGAGGTTGCAGTGAGCTGAGATCGCGCCATTGCACTCCAGCCTGGGCAACGAGCAAAACTCCGTCTCAAAAAAATAATAGTGTGACCTCCTTAAAGTTGTAAAGTGCTTAGAATAGTGCCTGGCAATAGAAAGTACACAATACATTTTAGGTTAAAAAGCACACATCAAATATCTTTTATTTCCCATGTCTTTTCAAAATGAATGGATTAAAAATAAAGGCCAAGAAGAAATGAAAGAAGCAGAATAAAGCCAGTGGCAAAATTAGTGCATAGACCAGAAAGTCCTGCATTATTGCTAATGGTTGCTTTGGTGTCTGGCTTTTGAGTTTTCGGCAGCAAAGTGAAGAAGAAAATAAAGTTCCATTTTCAGATTCATGGTATCTCTAAAATCAAACATGTGTTGTGAGTTTTCAAAGATTGCTTCTTGTCCAGGCACAGTGGCTCATATCTGTAATCCCAGCACTTTGGGAGTCCGAGGCAGATGGATCACGTGAGGTCAGAAGTTTGAGACCAGCCTGGCTAACATAACGAAACCTCCTCTCTACTAAAAATACAAAAATTAGTGAGGCATGGTGGCACATGCCTGTAATCCCAGCTACTTGGGAGATTGAGGCTGGAGAATCGCTTGAACCCGGGAGCTGGAGGTTGCAGTAAACCGAGATTGTGCCACTGCACTGGGCAACAGAGCGAGACTCCGTCTCAAATAAATAAATACAGATTGCTTCTTATATTTCTCAATCCAAGTTGAGTTATTGCCAGTGAACAGTCTTGACAGGGCCAAAGCAATGTGGTTTTGGTATATGGCTCTCTGATGGTTTGGCTTGATTTAGAGGTAAAGAATGATGCTTATACTGTGGGGACTATGTGTATTTTGTTCACTGTTTATCCCCAGCAGATAGAATAGCATCTGGCATGTAGAGAATAGTTTATTGAATTTTTAAGTGAATGAGTCCTTAAGCAGTTCTCCATGAATATGAGTAAGCATCAGGTTGCAATGAGTTTATTTGCTCAGTTCAGAATCATGAGGCCACATATTCTGCATGTCTGATTCAG